GTAGGCATTAAAAGTGTTGTTTCTAGAGCAAACGTCGAAAAATCAGGTTTTTCGTAATTAGTTCGAGAAGAAACCATTGATGTGTTATCGTGGTTCTCCTTTAATTCCGTTGTCCTTTGAGTGTTATTGGTCTATGGATCCAGTTCCCTGATTTCATCCGCAACAGTGGTCTTTGCCTACCTTTACTTAGTTGTCTTTCTCGCGATATCGGGGTGTTTTACCTATCTTTGCTAACTTACAGTGATTCATCTGCAGGTAAGATGTCCAAGAGAGGACGTGGAGGAGCATCTGGCGCTAAATTCCGCATTTCCCTTGGTCTCCCTGTCGGAGCCGTGATCAATTGTGCTGACAACACCGGCGCTAAGAACCTTTTTGTTATCGCAGTATATGGAATTCGTGGAAGGTTGAACAGGCTTCCCAGTGCAGGAGTTGGTGATATGTTCGTCGCCTCAGTGAAGAAGGGAAAGCCAGAACTCCGAAAGAAGGGTGAGCCTTTTGATTTAACTGTTGATTGTTTCTTTTTTCCTCCTTTCCTTTTAATTTTATCTTGCTGTTGTTCACGACCGTCATACTAGTCTCAGGATATTTTTAAAAATTGTACCCTTAAAATTTCTGCGCTATTCAGTATAAGTAGGCTTTGAAAGCAGAGCAAACAAGGCACTTTAAATCTTTGCAAGCATTTCTCTTTTATTACGGGCACTAAAGAGCTTTTTCTGAACCTTGAGAAGGAGCTTCAGATTGGTATATCCTTCACATATCCCGGAACTCCTCATACTAGGCTTTGGTAAAAATCCTCATCACTTGGACCATAATACTATCTTCGCGCTTTCCAGCGCTAAATCATGAGAAAATCTAAGAAAGGAAATAAGCGCGAAACGTTTCGTAGCTTTGAAATTCTTTATGCAAATTTCTGTTAACCCGACTACCAGACTGGCTTTTCTTTGAGTGAAAAAAACTATTAACGCAAAATCACCATTAGTAATAGGATAGGAACTACGTTCTGAGCAGCTTCTCGATCTCACTCTTCTAGAACTTCTGCGGCTGCGATAAAAAGTACAGCAGAACCTCATTTTCGAGTGGACTTCTGAATTCTTGCATTGTAGATGATGCAACAGGGACCTGAGTAGGCGGTAGCTAGAGGCTGCGAACTGCTGGGCAGGGTTATTCCCTGATCGAAATTCACAATCTTTGACGTAACGTCAATGCCACAGGCGCGCACGTTATCGCGGATTTCAAGACTTGGGTTGTTGTGGAAATTTAAGCGATGTAATCTTTTGAAGCTTGTCGGACCAGTTTATGTTTTGCAGTGTCCTCTGGCAATTTGTCTGCTATGGAGTATCCAGCAGTATTCTCTTGCAGTGCCCCACAGAACGAAATCATTTTCCACATGCATATGTCTTTGGACTCTGTTAGCGGTTTTTTAGAACTACAGTAGTTGCCAAAAAATGCTTGTAATGTTTACCAATAGCAAGAAACCCACGACCACTCGGTTCATCTTGTCAGAGTGACGCATTTCATATAGTGCTCATCATGAGAATGTTTACCGATAACCGAACTGTGGGAAAGATTTATAGTGTCATGTGAGTGCATAGTAGAGATATTGCCAACTTGCGCCGCATTCATACGAGTTGACTTTGAACGAGGTGACGAAACTGCGGACAAAAGGAAGTATACCGCTCGATCTGAAGAACCGCAGATTCGGAAGAAATTCATAACCTGCAGAAAAAAAGAAAGTACAGGCATCGATGAACAAATGCCGA